AGGGGTATTTTGGTAATTTGACCATGATTTCATAATCGCAAATTGTGACCAGGTCCTTGTGAGCAATTTCTCAAATTCAGGGTCCCTGATTGCCATTTTATATATTAGGGGGTCTTTATTTGCAATTTTTCCAAATATTTTTATAAGTTATAAATAATTTATTTTCCAAAATCATAATATAAATAATTTTCTTAAAAAACGTGTTGTTAAATTTTAATTCCAAACTTATTATTTTATAATCAGAACTTGTTATTTCCAAATGTATTGTTGTTATCACCTGCAACAAAATTTGTTGTTATAAAAAAAATATTGTTAAATTTTCATTCCAGACGTGTTATTTTACAATCAGAATTTGTTATTTCTAAATGTATTGTTGTTATCACCTGGAACAAGAGTAAATGAGTTAACTTTTTTTTTTTTGTATTATAATGTTAGCAAAAATTTGTTGGCTCGATGGTCATTCTTAATTTTGGGAAGCATTAGGTTGGGGGATCAAATCCCCCCCAACCTCACTTCCCCCCTATTTAAAAAAAAACAGTTGCAAAAAAAAAACAAAGGAAGGCCGCCGCCCGCCGGTAATGGCCGGAACGGCCGCTAGCCGGATTCCGGAGAGGTAGTGGTGTTTTTTTTTAAAAAAAAAATTTAAAGAGGGGTATTTTGGTAATTTGGCCATGATTTCATAATTACAAATTGGGACCGGGTTCTTGTGAGCAATTTCTTAAATTTAGGGTCCCTGATTGCCATTTTATATATTGGGGGTCTTTATTTGCAATTTTCTCAAAAAATAATGGCTCTTCTTTTCTTTTTTTATTGAAAACGAAAAGTTTAGGTAGGATAAATTTTTTTTACTTATTCTTTTATTGAAATTAGTCTTGTCCGAAGCATTATCGATTATTAAATATAGACACCTCTTATCCTTTTTCATTGCTTCTAATTTTTATTTTTATATAATAGTGTCACCAGCTTGTAAACTTTATTCTTCTTTCAGTTTATGATTACTCGGCTATTATTCAAAAATAAGAAAAAGAAAAATACTATTCAACTTTTTATGCTACTTGAATCCATTTTCAGTTAGGAACCTATTTTGACTAGAGCCGGGAAAACGGGCCGAGCCCGTCGGGCCGAGCCCTTTTAAGCCCTGAAATTATGAGGGCCGGACTTGATATTTTTCTCTTAAAATGAAAAATAAGCCCTGGAGGGCCGCGGGCCGGCCCTTTTAAGCCCTTTTATATATTTTTTTATTTTTAAAATTTTTTTATATAATATTAATGTTATTAATTTTTTACATTGTTAATAATATTTCAAATATTTAGTTATTATTATCATTTTAAAAGTAAATTTAGTTTTAGATAATAATTTATCCAATTAAATTTTTAGAAAATGGGTTAATTTGGACTTTAATAATGATTTAATTTATATTATATGAGTTGATATTTTTAAACTGTATATATATTTGATAATAGAATATTTTTATACTTATATAACTTGTGATTCTATAATTTGAATTAGAAATTCATGAGTTTCAACAGCAATGTTTCTCACATTAAAGTAAAATAATAGTTAGATTGTAAAATTTAAAAATAAAATTCTTATAAAGAAGAAAAACTTGATATTTTTGTTAGGAAAGAAAAGTATACTTATGAAGAAAAGTAATTAATTATAGTGATGATGAAGTTTCAAAAGATTAATAATAGTGTTTATTTATTGCACAATTGCATTATAGATAAAACTTTTAGATGTTGTTATCTTGTTAATGAATGTTTTAGATGTTAATGAATATTTATATATGATGATATTTTATATGTGACTTAATTTTATTTATATTTATGTCTTTTATTAATAATTTCATTGGTTTATTTTTATATTTTTATAAAAAATTGATAAATATAAAAAAATAATATTTTTTCTTAAACGGGCCAAAAGCCCAAGGGCCGGCCCTGGCTCTATAACTTAAGGGCCGGGCCTAACAAATTGGGGTATTTTTAAATTTCAGTCCTGGAGGGCCGGCCCTTTTAAACCCTCCAGCTCTGAAGGGCCGGCCCTGATTCCGGCTCTAATTTTGACCGTTTTGATTACTTATCAAACTTACTTCCATCACTTGTCCTATGATTGTGACCCATAAAGGAAAAATTGCATCAGTTGAATTTTCCCCCAATCTTGGGATGGGCCCACAAAAAAAAAGAAAAAGAAAAAATTAATGGCTCTTTTTTTTTTTCTCTCTTTTGAAAAACGAAAAGTTTAGGTAAGATTTTTTTAAAAAAAATTATTCTCTTATTGGAATTAGTCTTGTATGAAGCATTAAAATAAACCTGCTTAACTTAAATATTGTTTAGAAATACTTACCAAAAATAATTTTAACACATAACATTTAATCTTTTTGATCATATTCAAATATTATTAATCACTTAAACTTATCTATTTAATAACTTGTAATGTTTAAATGCATCAATTTGATAAAATAATATTTCAAACACGTCTTAAAAAAATAATAAATTTAATATAATGAGTGATAAGAATAGTCTCCTACTACTTAAAATCTACCCTAAACATATTAATTGATGTTTAATTTGAATATGTCGGAAGAGAATAGTCTCCTACTACTTAAAATCCACCATTATATTCTACACTTCCTCACAAAAGGACAAATGCACATTCATTTATTTGTTATTCATATTTGTGACCCAATATTGGAACATATGCATTGAAAAGATAAGGTACGTAGTTAAGTTTAGTCCTACTCAAGTAGTAAATATTCCACACATGCATCGTACTAAGGTTGGGTTGGAAAATTAAACATATGCGACAAACATCGTACGTCAAAAACATGCAACGAAGACTTTGAATCTTAATTAATGATTTGTACATGTACCCAGATCACAGTCAGAGGGAATTCCAATTTTAATTTTTAGAATATCTGGATCATATATATGCTTAATTTAATATTTGAATAGTTCTCTGGTCAAAAAATGTTTGAATAGTTCAAAAGAAGTTACTATCCCTTCTCCTGTGTTAAATATAATAACTAGTTAAATATTTAATTTGATCCTAATTATAAAACTCTAATCCATTTTATCTCTTATATTTATTCATTTTTCTCAATATATGTTAAAATGTTTCCATTCTAATGCATATGATTAATAAAGATATTTTAGAAAAGACAACGCTTATTGATTATAAGTAACAAACTTAACTGATTTTCTTAATATTTACAAATGAGGCATCTAACTCTTATATTAAGAGTAATTGTTTAGTTAGCACTAGCTCTGGTCCTTAATATAAGAGCTCGTTTGACTTTTATTTTGGTCTTAAATATAAGACTCAAATCCACTTGATCTCTTATATTTATTTATTTTTTTAAGATAATTCTTGTAATAATGGTAATTCTAACCAATACGTTTAACTAGCAAAGATAGTTTAGAAAAGACAACACCTATTTATTACAAATAACTAACTTAACTAGTTTCTTGAATCTACTCAAATTAGTGGATTAGTTTTTATATTAAAAACTAGAGGCAGTATATGTAGACAAATAGCGACTAGCTAGCATTACGCAAGTGATAACATCTATAAATATATATATATATATATATATATGTATGTATATCTATTAAATTAATTAATATTAATTAAATACAGTCTTCTAATAGACTTTAGTTTAGGTAGTATATGTAGACAAATAGCGACTAGCTGGCATTACACAAGTGATAATATATATATCTATTAAATTAATTAATATTAATTAAACTAGTTTTTGTCCTTCGATTTTCCAAAATTATTGGAATTCAAACTTTTTTCTTATATTAATCAAATTGAACAATACGTATCCACATTTACATCTCCCTACCTAGCTAAGTCGCCAGTGTGGAATTTTTTATTAGAATATATAAATCTAAATTTTACATTGACTAATAATTGGAGAATAAATTGATGGTATATAATCTAAGATAGGTTCCTACCGAATTAATTGAAGTGTTTTTATTGTTATTTTTTAATAACTCACGCACCCAATATATATATATATATATATATATATATATATATAGGCTCCCTTGTCGCATAAAAATGGAATTGGAATCTCATATATGCTTAAAAGTTAAGACTTATGGGGGAGATATTATTACTGTATTTTCGATTTGAGATCAAATTAAATAGACTGTCCTATCCCCAATGGCCTGTGCCTTCTGTTATCTTTAAGATCAGTTCATCTAGTGCTATAGCTCAATTACATTCAGCTACTAACTAAAAAGAAGGGTTGATACTTATCAGTATCACTCGTCAGTTATTTGTATGGTTAATTTCTATAACTTATCTTAACTGTTTTTTCTGGAAAAAAAAAAAGTTCTACTAGTTTATATTTCAAATAGTCTTCAAAGCCAACTATTTCATATCATAAATTATTTAATAACGAAAGAGAAAAAAATAATTTCAAAAATATAAGACGACGTTAACATCCAAATATATATTATAACTCAGTGTAATCATAGCTTGTTTATTTAAAAAAGGGAGCGGACTATCATATGTAAATTGGAAAATCAATTATTAAACCCATCAATATCTAAATTTGGTCTTCTTTTTTTTTGTTGAAAAAATTGATTACTTTGACAATCAGTTAAAAATTTTAAAAAGTTATTAGTTGCTTATTCTAAGTTCACTGAGATCAGCGATTCATGTAAGTAAAAGTTGGACATGGGATCCCATCATCCACCAATCCTCCAAAAGAATTAGCAATTTTTCCTAGATAATTAATTTACAGACGATATATTCTTGACAATTCATAAGTGAAACATGGAGAGTGAAGAAAACTAGAAAAGAAAGGAACGACATTTTTATCAATCCAGTCATTTTTTGAAAATAAGGACCTAAATCCTTCATTGTATTAAGCAATTAGGCCCTTCAATATATTTTACTTTCTTCCATATTTCTTGGATGTCATTCTCCCAAAAAAATTTTTTTTCCCATACTCCTTTTATTTCTGTGATTCATATGAGAACTCTTCGTCAAATAATCAAATATTATTCTTATTCAGCAATAATTAGCTGCCTTCAAAAGCAGCTAAATCTCATATACGTTTCACATCACTAAAAAAGAAAATCATGGAACTTCATCATAAAAATGGTCATATCACAAAAAGCAGTTGCTTACTTATTTTATTGCAAAGCTGATGCGCGTGTGTGCGTAGGTGTGAGTGCATGTGAGTGCTGAGTGATTATGCTACTAATAAGGAAATAATGCTAAGGGTGATATGCAATGGGGACTAAACATAGGTCATGTTTTCTTCTTGTTACAGCACCAAAGATCTCAGACATGTCCAAGTCTTGAGGCTTTTCTCCATTAGGAAGTTTCCAATCAAAATGATAAAGCAGATTTGCTATTATCAATTCTAAAATTGGTGTGGCAAATGACATTCCAGGGCATATCCTCCTTCCTGCACCAAAAGGAATAAACTCAAAGTTGGTGCCTTTGAAATCAACAGAGCTGTCAATAAACCTCTCTGGTTGAAACTCCTCAGCATCGTTCCAATACTGAGGATGCCTTCCAATAGCCCAAGCATTTATGATCACCGTAGATTTGAGAGGTATTTCATAGCCATCAATTTGACAAATCTCACCATTTTGTCTCGGAAGTAACAAAACAACAGGTGGGTGTAGCCTTAAAGTCTCTCGAATGACTGTCATTACATATTTCAATTGATGGAGTTTTGACTCGTCCACGAATCCTTCATTTTCATAGACCTTTCTTACTTCTTCTTGTGCCTTCTTCATTACTTCTGGTTTTCTAATCATTTCTGCCATTGCCCACTCTGTTGTTGTTGCTGTTGTTTCAGTTCCACCAATAAACATGTCCTGAAAGTATATAGGTTCCACGATTAATTAAAATCTCTATTATTTGTGTTATCTGCTTTGATGTCCTCGTCTGGAAAAAAAAAGAGCAGCGAATAGCAACTTAAAATTTGGTAGTGGCAACCCCCCCCCCTCCAAAGAAAAAAGACGCTGATTTCATTGCAGGTCAGATTTAGAGATTTTTTAAGAACTTCTACTTCCTTTATATAAAGCTCATATGAACACTGCTTGAAAACATATGATTGACATGTCATATATAGATAGATAAGCAAAATCAAGTGCAGATGGTACTATCAATATATACGTAAGTTTGATTTATATAATTCTTTGAGGTAGAAAAGTAAAATAATCATTTCTTAACCAAATTAAATTAAACTAGCTAGGACTGAATTACCAGGATGACAGCTTTGATGTTGTCGAGAGTTAAGGGGATTTCAAGGTCATTCTCTTTCTGAATCCTGAGAAGAACATCAACAAGATCCTCTGCTGCTCTTATATCGCCACCCTTCTTTTCTGAGTGATCGTTGATGATATCATCAAGCATCCTATCAATGTCTTTATGTACCTTTTCGGCCTTACCTTTTATCCCACTGATCACACGCAGGAATTTCAATGAAGGATAGAGATCACAGATTGAAAAGCCACTCGCAATCTCTAAGGCGTAGAGGATAGACGGTATAATATCTCCAACGTTTTTGGTCTTTCGACCAAAGGCTGCTCGAGCAACTATGGAATTTGTAAGTGGATAGAGCTTTTTAGTGAGATTCATGACAGAACCAACCTCAAGTTCAGAAATATCCTTCATTAACATAGAAACCTCCTCTTCCCTTATTCTCCTGAATGTTTGGACCCTCTTCACGGACAAAAGTTCTAAAGTACAGATCTTTCGAAGCTGCCTCCAATAGTTCCCATAAGGAGAGAGGCCTATGTCTGTGAAATTATAAGTAAAGAGTTCGCCAGCAAAAATTTTGGGTCTGTTGGCGAAGATGATGTCATAGGTTTTCATAACTTGTTTGGCTATTTCTGGTGAAGAGACTATGAAGTGGGATATTTGCCCGAGCTGAAGATGCATTAAGGGTCCATACTTATTTGCAAGGTCTCTAAGGGATTGATGGGGCAGTGACCCAATTTGATGAAGGTTTCCTATGAGAGGTAGTTTCCATGGTCCAGGGGGTAGGGTTTTGAGGGATTTCTTGGAGGTTGAAAGTTTGAAAATCATGAAGAGGAAGCAAAGGAAGGTGAAGAGGATGGCATATGGGATCTGAATCTCCATGATATGGCGATGGAAATGGGGGAGTGAGGTGTAGGAAAGAGGACCGAATGGTGTGGCTTTATAACAAACCGTCGGATGAATAGTGTTATATTTTCAAATAAATTGAAAAAATGTTCATATCACCCTCATTAGCGACTTAGAGTATAGTCGAAATGATTGAATAAAAGTCAATACACGTTATTTTCCGATGTAAGATTAATAAAGAAATTAAATAACTAATTTAGAAAAATTTGAAAAAAATTAGTTTAGTTATATATATTTGTTGACTTTTCTAAAGTACTCATTTTAATTATTGACATTAAAAACTATCCTCCATAAATAAAATTCACTTAATATGAGTAATTATTAAAGAGATTTTTTAAAAAAATTATAAACTTGAAAACTAAAATAAATTAAAATTTTATATTTAGAATCAAAATAAATTTATTCACTACTTGTTATATTTAGAATCAGATGAAAATTAACGATTGGCTTCATTATTCACAAGGTACTATAAGCAGTCTCACTCCTTAATTAATATCGTAGAATGCGTGGACAGATGGATGTACCTAACTTCTAGAAAACAAAGATCACCAATGAGTGGTTCACAGGAACAAAAAGAAAAGTCAAAAGATATTTTGTTTTCTTAAAATGAGAGGTTATGAAAAATAAATTTAATGTGATTAGTCAAGTACTGTTCTGGTTCTATTCATGAGTCACTTTCAACATGTTTTATATAGATCAAGAAAAATCTTAAATTTCATTAACTCTCATTTAAAATTCAATAACTTTTTAATTTTATCCCTATTTAATATACAGTATACCTCATGTAAATAAAGTCAACACAATAATAAATGAAAGGTAAAATTGTATTACCTGCGGTCCTTAATATAAGACATTGTTTGACTTTTATTTTGGTTCTAAATACAAGACTCCAATCCACTTTGTCTCTCATATTTATAATTGTTTTTCCAAAGTAATCCTTCTAACAATGGTAATTCTAGATAACAAACTTGATTAGCAAGGACATTTTAGAAAAAACAACACATATTCATTACAAATAACTAACTTAACTAAGTTCATTAATCTCTTCAAATTAGTCAACTGGGTCTTATAATTAAGACCGGAGGTAGTACATCCATACAAAAATTTCTCTCGGTATTCTATAAATAAAACCACAAAATATCTTATCTCTTTACTCTATAAATAGAACTAGAGGAGTAATTCTTAGAAGCAATTAATTATACAAATAATATTGACGTAATCATTAAAGAGGAAAAGAAATAAGAAGTTAATTATAAGTAAAAATGATATTTATATGTTTAGAAAACAGCTTACAACGAAAATATGAAGAATGATATTGATGCCGATAATAAAAAATATTATATCTCATCTTATTTTAAGCATCCCCCCCCCCCAAAAAAAACCCATTCATTTAGACTTTTCTTTGTCATTTATTTGAGCCATCAAGTTTTCGAAAGGTTGGCATTCAAACTTTTTTTCCGTGCATCAATCAAATTGAATAATGCATGCGCATTCAAATAGTAGCATTTTTCATCGTCCTAGCTGCAATAAGGAAGTTTCCCTTATGTGTTCTAGTCTTATTTATGAGGTAGAGAAAGAAATTTTTTTATCTTGTTTATAAGTCATATTTTTAAATTTTTAATATGAATGTATTATTTTATTTTTTATTTATTATGATATAAATTACTATTTTTTGAAAATTTTATATATTAAATGATTGTATAATTAGAAATTTGTTATATTTTAAGACAGAATTAATATAATTTAAGATTTTTTTTTATTTGTGTAAAATATGTTTAAAATGCCCTATAAATAAGACCACATTTTTGCAAAATCACTGCAATCATCTGGTATTGATGCTGAGTAATTAAATTCATAGAAAACTTTATGTTTCTGTAGGTAATATATCTATATACTCATCTAATCCTATTTATAAAGCACTTCTAATGTCAATGTTGACATTTCTTTAAACAAAAATTTGAACTTTAACATGTTGTGAGTGATTACTTTCTTCTACTTGATCCAACATGTGGGCCCTATTTTTGGTGGGGACTCTAAAACTCAGCTGGGACCCACATGACAATCACTCTCCCTTACTACTTCCCACTCGAGACAACAATAAATTAAACTCTCTTATGAAGAAGTAGTCATCTTTGCAGAATTTAGTAAATCATTTATGATGTAGTTTCAAAAATATCCTTCATGCAATTAACTCTTAATTTATTGAGAAGCATTATTTTCAGCTTTATGATACATGTTAATGACTATAATTAAAATTAATTTTGAAAATTTATTATAATTTTTGAAAAAATTAGACTGTATATTACATTTAACTACTTTTTTTTTTAACTATATGATTTAATTAAAAAGATCTTACATTATATTGGTCGGTCCTCTTGAATAGAACTCAGTAATATATATACATAGATATATATATATTTCAAATAATTATTGCCGAATTCTCATCATTCATGCGGCCATATCAATGTCTGTATTAGTTGCTTTTAGCGTGTGCGCGCGCGCACAACGTCGTAGCCACTTTCATTGTAATAGGCTCATCAGTTAATTCATAGCCCAAAAAGAATGATGATGGGCCCCAAAATAAGGCCGTCAGCCCAGGACGGTTGGCCCTGCCGTGCCATTTCGAGGCACGTTTGTAAATGAGGGCTATGACATTCTTTTTCCAAAAAAAAAAAAAAAAGAAATGTTGAACAATACTACTTCAAGTTCTTAATATAAAAAATTAGTCAAAATTTTAATTTATTCATACATCTAAAACCTCAATTTATTTTGTCTCATTTTTTTTTTTCAAAGTATTCTTATTGATTGAAGGAGATTTCTACCAATGCATGATTTCAGTACATATGATTAAAGAAAGCAATCATTTTGGTGAACCAAGATTTGAATTCTCGTTGAAAGAGGCATCAAATGGGATTGCCTCTAATAAGAGGATACTTGTGCTTATAAAAAAAAAATTAATTTAGGAAAGTCAACATATATTTATTACAAATGATCAACTTAACTAATTCTTTTAATTTCTTTAAATTAATTATCTAGCTATTTTTAGCTTACAAGCATTATCACTTTTAACCAATATTGATTTACTATGTTGTGGGGACTAACTCCTTAGCTTCTAATGGACCTAAACCTCATTGGTACACATAATACCATTATGTGCTAAGAAGAAAAAGAAATGAAAACCACGTCCTCTTTTGTAGCTGCTCTCACTATAATAGGCCCAAACTTATTCATCTACTCTCATTATCATAGCCCCAACACTTTCATTTGTGGCCCATAAAGAATTGTAGTAGGCCCAGCCCAGAACTGACAGTCCAAAACGATGGGATTGACAAGTACAATATCTTCAATGTGTCGCACCTCATTTGGCACCTCTGTTGAATAAATTATGTCATCCTTCCCATAAATCGCCTCAAGAGTTCTGCACATTTTCCGAAATACCTCTCTCGCGTCAGTGGATGCTATAGTTCCTCCTTTCTTCACCACTAATCTCAGAAGCTCTTTCCTTTTCCCTTCACCCTTCTTCTTTATCTCTTCTTCTTCTTCACTTCCACTAATCAACCGCAAGCCTATTGGGTTCACCAGTTTCCATTGTTCTTTCCCCCTCTGCACATAAGACCACACACACACATATCTAAATCTCATATTCACTTTATTATATTTCCTACAAGATGCATATGAAAACTGAGATTGATCGACTGCTCATCTATCTTACGTGGTAGTCATTGACATCATCAAGGTATCGCCCACAGAGACCAATAACATCTAAAAGTAATTGCTTTTCAGTAATTAGTGACGGATTTTTGAGGGAACATTTCCGTCACAAATTTTCCAGACAGAATATTATTGGTAGTTATTAACAGATTTTGGACAGAATATTTGTGGTAATTATCAATGGATTTTTTATGAAAAATTTCAGGATTGTTTAGTTTCTTGTTTTGAAAACAATTTTTTGTTTTTAAAAACAGAAAAATAAAAAAAAACTTGTTTGATAATTTGTTTTTAGTTGACTGTTTTAAAAAACAAAAAACAATAACATATTTTTAAAAACTAAAAAACCAAAACAATTTTTATATGTTTTTTTGTTTTTGTTTTTGTGTTTTTTATTTTTTGTTTTGAAAAATTTTGAGAAATCTTCTACTTTTCTTATCTACTATTCACCACTTATCATTACCATGACAACTATTACCTATCAAGTGTAATTTTTTATGATTTTTTTAAACATGATTTATTAAAATTATTATCCAAACAAATTCTTTTGTTTTTTTGTTTTCAAAACTTGTTCTAAGAAATAATTTTATAAAATTGTTTTGAGAACAAGAAAACAAAGAACAAAAACAAACAGGCCCTTCATCACTAATTAACCATGGAATTTTCTGTCAGTAATCTGTGACTAATTTATAACGGAATTTTGACATAATTTTGTAAGTAATTTGTGACAAATTTCTGATGAGAAGTTCTATTACTAAATATAAAATTTAAAACAAAATTATTTATTTTTTAGCTTTTCTTGTATATTTTTTTATTTTATTTGTTTAACTTTAAAAACAGGAAACAATTAAGAAAGCAAACAATAAAGACAATTAAATTTCTTGAATACCAAACAAACTATAATTAATAAATAATATGAACGTAGGTTCCCAATTAAAAATACTTGAAATGTTAAAAGTCTAACACTCAACCCATAACTCTCAACTCTCATGTTGACACCCAGTTTTTACAACATCGGTCAAAGCTTATCCTTCATGCAAGTGTGATTTCTGCTTAATGGGTTCATAACAGAGCTGAAACCCATGCTTGCCAGTAGGAGAACCAATGATTGAGTGTTCTTGGTAGCCCACTTCTTGTGGGAAATGATTGCTATCTGTGAACCATGCATGAAGAATTTGCCAACTGTTTTATGAAGATGTGGAGAGAGAAAAAAAGTGATACCTTTGAGCTCCAATTCCCTCTTGTGGATGAATTTCGCTAGCAGATTTCCTACTAGAGGAAGATTTATATCCAGACTTGGGCTTGCTCAATTAAATGAGCAAAGATAATATCAAATCCAATTGAAGAAATTTGTTTATCATCATCAACCGCAGCAATGTTTGTTTCAATATATCCAAGTCCTTCAACAAAAAGAGAATCTCCCAATTATTTCATTATATGCTTCTTCAAAATAAAACTATTGAATTAATTATAATAAGATTCAAAATCATATCAATTTACCTCTATTGGCTTGATCCCATTACTTAAGTGCAAGAACACAAGCCAAAGTAGGTAGAATGGAGTCTTTGGTGAACGACTTATTACCACTAGGAGGACCTCATGATCTATCAATGTGTTTAATTTGTACAAAGCTACTACTCAACTTCACTCCCTAGGAGAGACAATTCTTGATGAAGGCAAGAACTTTGCAATCAAATTATTGGTTCAGAAACAAGCTGCTAATCAAATTCTTGATAATTGGATTATAGTGAAAGATCTACCTGGCGAGGTATATTTTATACTTGTATATAATGAACCTAATTAGTCATGAAGATTGTTGAATAAATTTGTTCCACATAAACAATAAAAATAATACATTGATATAGAATGTGGTGGTGGAGATGATGTCTAGATTTCTAAGACCCTCCATAGCTGACTAATCAAAGTGTTAATCTAAAAAATAATTTGACCATCTTGAGTTGAAAAGATGGTTTGTAACAGTCATAAAGGATTTGGGCCAAGATGGAGGCCTAATGGGAAGCCCAATACAGGAACGAGTGAGGTTTAGAGGCAGAGGAGACAGTATAATAAGGGGTAAAATTGGTTACGAAAGGGTGTGGATGATTTTGGATGATTTTCTCTCTGGTCCCATTGTTGGGAATTCTCAGTGGCTCCCTTCTTGTTCTTCTTCTACTACCACTTCCTTGAACCCTTCTTCTGCTGCTACTGATTTTCTGAACCTATCCTTTGTGTTGTTTATTTATTTCAGTGCTTGTATCAGATATAAACACTAGATTACAAAAGTTATGATGATTTTTATGGGGGAGGTGCACAGAATGTTTAGAATAAATACTGATATATAGACCCCTCTTAATTACTTATGTTTTTTCTTAATCATTTCTGTCATTACTCACTTTGTGGTTGCTGCTGCTGTCTCAATTCCTCCAAGAAAAATTGTGCTGAAAACAAATATATATATATATATATATCTCAGTTCCATGATCAATTAAAAAGTTTGTATAAATTTTGAGGAGCCAAGGATATAAAAACATAAAAGAAAGCTTTAAGGGTGCATAATCCCTACAAGTCCCTCCTCTCTCTATCATCGATCTCTTTGGAAATTAGTTTCCAATCAAATGAGAGAATTTGGAATCCCCCGAGTGATCTATGAATCTAAAATAATGGGACTGTTGAGAACTATATCTCTGATGTTGAGCACCTCATTTGGCATCTCCTTCGCATGAATCACATCTTCTTTCTTGTAAATCAGGTGAAGTGATCTGCTCATTTTCCAATACACATCCCTCACTTCTCTTGTCATTTTGCTTCCTTCTTCCTTTGATACCATTCTCAACAGCTCCTTTCTCTTCTCCTCTATTTTACTCTGTATCTTCTTTATGATCTCTTCTTCACGTTCTTCCCCATGGCCATGAATCAGGCGCAAGCTTATGGAGTTGATGAATTTCCCTTCTTCTTTTTCTCTCTGCAGAAACAGATACAATATAATCTTATTCACTTAGTGCTACGAAAACCCAGAAAAAATATTCAAGAGAAAGGAAAAGACTCGTCAAATCACCTGGTAGCCATTAACATCATTGAGGTATCGCCCATAAATACTAACAAGCTCAAAGAGGCAATTGTATTCATCACTTTCAGTGACAGACTGTGGAAGCTTAGGTCCAACAAGGTACATTACGGGGATGATAATTGGTCCCAAGGCCATTGATATAATTCCATTACGCTCATATTCTTCTATACTTGGCACACACTTGTTCCTGCACCATTCTGCTTCTTTTAACTCAGATCGCAGTAAATCCACCGTCTGAGAACAATAAATGTCAATATTTCAAGAGATTAATAGAGTTTAGTGCGATGATGAAATTAACGAAGTAAGCAAGGAGATAATAATTATGATCTTACGATCTGAATCAAGTGGTTCAACACACTCCGTCCTTGAACTTTATATGCTTCGGCTGCAATCTCATGAATTGTTTTCTTTAGTGCTAAGAATATTATCTTCACCGTCTCAGAACAACTTTCTTTGTCGACATCTACATCCCACCTGCAATTCAATGTTCCAAACACATGATCTACATATTATGCAGAGAGAAAATAAACGACATTTATATTGGTATTACAAAGACCTTACTTCTCCATTAACTGAATAAGGTTTATGTGTTCATCTTCAGTACCCCAAACATCAAAGAAATCATCAACCACACATCCCAGCAAGCTTTGCTTTGCCCATGTCAGGCGTGCTTCGCGAAGTTCTGGGGAGGTCAGTGTTGCTGCAACAGTCAAGAAGGAATAGGCAGCTTTTGTTTTTGAGATTGGAAAATGTAGTTTCTCCAATCCACTCTCCATAAACCACCTGATTATAAATATCTACTTATCAGTAATTTAAAGATTGGCGTTAGACTAGAATGAATAAGCTTACACAAATTGAATGTTAAATGTTATTTGCATTTTAAAATACATGCACATAATTTCTTAAAGCAGCATATTTATATCTATAGTCAGTTTTGAGTTCTTGAAAATGATACTAACTTGTTGAACAGGTTGAATTCTTCACGAAATAATAGTTGAGAGTGATTGAAGTCGTCTGTTCCCAATTTGAGGAATTCTTTATTTGCGAGATTCATAGAACTGAGCAATAAAACCATGACAAACAGAGTAATTATGAACTTTCAGGAAGGTCGCATGAAAAATAGAGTGTGCTGAGATCCATAATATGATGTCAGTACCAATATGAAGATTTCAAAATTCTCGTTTGATGGACGTCGTAATGCTCTATAGATCTTCGGTTTAAAATGAAATCCAAATAAGCATGATGAGGAAAACGCATGGCAAAAGGTACCTGAAATTAACATATGAAATGATTTTTTTAGCTTATCTTACTGACATGGGAATTCAGAATATCATCGAAAGTTGAAATCAAAATTGAATTTTCGAGTTTAATACAAACACACACCTCGTGGTCAATATGATTAGAAGGCAGCTTATAAGCATTTTTTGAGGAAGAGGACAAATATTCCTCAAGGAAGTGTTGTGTCCAAGAGTTTAGGTCCTCCAAAACTAAATCATTTGAATGCAAAACTATATGAGAAGCCTTATGTAACTCCAAAACAGCCTCGACATCCCTCAAATAACCCAGAAGAGAATTGTAAAATCTGTCTTCTGAGAACCGATCAAGTGCATCTGAAAAAGTAGTACACAAATTATCACATCAGATTTAGCTATTTTTGTTTGATTCCTTTTATTGAATTGAAAAAGACACAAAAACCTGAAGAAACATTGTATCCATGCAAACGTAGCAAACGAAATGCCATGGCACATGTGGTGGGTTCTAAAAATATGTCATCTTCTTCCTTTTGCCACATTCTGTTTCATAATCAAATCGAGCAGGAGATCAAATTTTGTAGCCTTCTTGCTTCCTAGAATAATAGTTATTTTCAATTTCAAGCATTTGAAGTACACAAAGTTAATTACCTCCATGTTTCCTCTAGTATACTTTCAATTTCCTCCTTAAAATGGCGATCAATACCCAACTTTTCAAGACTATCAACCATATGGAGTCGAGCATACACATCAAAAGGATGAACTGCTGGAACTGAATAAAGCATACGTACATATATAAGAAAACAAATATTAGTCGGAAAACGTAATTATAACTGTCATGTAGAAGAAGACAAATCCATCAAAGCTTTTTAGGGAGAATTAATTACCAGCATTTCCAAATTTATCTAAGAGTGAAAATAGATAATCAAGACAATGTGCATTGTTAATGTGAGTATATGCTGATGCGGTGGTGGCCGGGGAGTTAAACAAAGAACCATTCTTTCTTTGAAACTTCATAGCCATTTCCCAGTTCTGTGACTTCCCAAATCCTTCTGAGATGTATGCCACATATGCTTTCCATCCTTCTGACTTGCTTCCCCACCCACTGCAGCTATATGCACGTAAGAGCTCAGATATTGTCTATTCAAAAAACTTATAACCAATACATAAAAATTCTGATAAGTTATTGCAACACATCCATGAACAACTCTCTGCAAACTATATATGTAAAGGTACCTTTGGAGCTCCAATTCTCTTTTTTGCATGAATGTCTCTAAACGTTTCCCTCCAAGAGGAAGATTTAGATCCAACTTCTGGGCTTGCTCGAGCAAATGAGAAAAGATGATGTCAAATCCTATTGGAGAATGTTGCTTATCATCAAGAGCTGAAGCAATGTTGGACTCGATATATCCCAGTCCTTCATCAGCACAAATGATCACCCCATTATTTGACTATACATAGTTGGTTTTGAATTTAAACTTCAAAGACTTTATCTATATAGTTAATCCTTTAAATCAAAAAGAAATCCATATTCATAAATTGTTACATAAATACCTCTGTTAGTTTGCTGTTCACCAACACCCCACTGCTTAAGTGCAAGAACACAAGCTAAAGTAGATAGAAGAGAATCTTTAACAAGCAACTCGTGACGATCAGAAAGACCCCATGATCCATCGTTTTGTTGATTTTGCAGTAACCAGTTTAGTGACTGAGGAAAGAGAGGAGTTTGTGGAGAAGAAGGTGATGGTATCATTGCCACCCAAGCTGTGTCATAACTCGATGCAGAAAGTTCAATTTTGTCGAACATCTTCTTTATTCTCACTTTGTCCCCCTCTAATATCTGCATTAGTTAATACAATCGACCATCTTATTTTTATTTCTATAAACTAATTGTCATAATTGAAGATACATAAGAAATGAAAGAATGATACGTTACATTAATGTTAGGTCTGCTATGAACTTCGTTCCTTGCATTGGATCCATCTGAAGTTGCTGGGAGGTGAAAATATAGACAAGAATTAAGTATACCGTGTGAAGGATAGTTAACACTTTGTTAGTTAATTTATAACTAGGACAGTTGTCCATATGGTTGCTTCCGTTTGTATATAAATACTCTTATGCATTAATGAAAAGACAAGCATATTCATTTTACCAAAACTGAGTTACATGCCATTTAACAATTTTCTCTCTCCTTATTTTCCGCTTTAATTTCCTTATCGCCCTTACTTTCCCTTTTGTCTTCTCACCTTACCCTTTCTCTTTCCTTTGAGGATTCTCTCTCTTTCTTTTCCTTTCAAGAAGCGACGCTTTCATAGCCACAAACAGCCCAGCTAGAAAGGAAAGCAGAATACATAATTTCAGGTGTCTACAAGACTTGTTAAATGTCATTCTCTTTTGATTTTGTGAGAGTTCAAGAAAACTGTTACACTTATATCTATATACTTCCTTTATCCCCTAAGGGTGTGTTTGGATTAGCGGTGAGAGAAGTTACTTTTTTTCAATTTGACTTTTACAAAAGTCAGATTAGATAAAAGTCAGATAGTATAATGTGATTTATGTTTGGATTGACTTTTGTAAAAAAATCAGTTTGAAAAGCTTAAACTTGTTTAGATAATTAATAGAAAAGAGATATGAACATTATTAAATAATAACGTGATAATTTTAAGAAAAATATTAAAATTATAAGGGTAACGGTGCATTTTTAGTCTTAATTTTATTTTTCATATACACCCAACATTTTTATATTTTTAATAGTGTAATTTTACCCATGGTCATTTTTTTTGTATATAATTTTACCTATGAAAGTTTTTTAATGCAATTTTGCCTGTGATTTTTTTTTCCAGAATCTGATTTGGTGATCTATTCTCATGATCTTATTTTAAAATTTATCTATTCTCATGGTCTTATTTTCTCTCTCAGCAGTAGGTGATGTGAAACAGTAAAAGCAATAAATTTTAGCTTTTGAGATACCATGACTTTTGCATCATAAGCCCATTTTGATGTATTGTGAATCCAAATATTAATTTAAGCCTCATTGTGCTTTCTTTTCCCCTTCAACGCACGGTACCCCTTCAGAACGCTCTACCAAACACACACTAAGGCACTTTCTAAAAAGAAGTATTAATGCTTCTATAAAAATTAAGTCATTAGATGAGTCATTAACTAACTTTTATCTTTAAAACATTACTCTTATTACAATTTACATAAGTCTGATGTAATATTGTTTCCATGTTCTTAATGGTTCAACCACTTCTCTTGATGAGCTATTTAAAGTTGACTTGTAATAAGAATCAAAGAAAGCGTGTAACCAAAAATTAGTTAAAATTAATTAAAAATAATAAACAGATAAGATATATATATACTTTTCTTTTAAAATATGCATTTATAATAAATGAGAAAAATGATGGGTGAGAATGTATAGGAAAATGTGATGAAAGAGCATGGCAAAAAGGAGAGAGAATAAATGATAATGAGCAATATTAAAAAATGCACTAAATATTGAAACAAATCCAAATTAAAACTTATAAAATAGATTACATCCCTCCCCAAATTTAAATCTTACAAATAAGACTAAAAGGAGTGTGGAGTGTGTTGTGTAGAAAGGGAACCAATTTCCATCACTTTGATGAATACCCTAACCTCATCAAATCTAGACTGTCTATATCTGATTTGAATGGTTTAAATTTGAAATCTGCAATTAATTATTTTAAATAGAAAAATTTATTTTTTAAAAAGAATGATAGTGAAAAAATTATCTTTATTTTAGATTTCATCCATATTAAAATAATTATTTTAAACAAATAAAAATAAAAAAAGAATCAAATCCTAACCATCCGAGGAAGACATGGAAGGTCCAAAGTTTAAAGTGTTCATCAATGAGTACTAAATCTGATTCTGTGCAGAGAGAGAGAGAGAACCTGGAGAAAGGGAAGGAGATGGCAAGCGAGGGAGCCAGAGAGACATGGCGGCACCGATAGCGAAGATGGAATATTTTTTCTTTCTACGAACACAGTGTGTACTGCTTTTACCAGACATATATATAGGCCACACAAAGATAAAAGAAGACAAAACATCTCAATTATTACGTTCTGTTTATTTTTTCTTCTCCCTTACGGCATTTTTCCAAGCCACCCCAATTAGTGGGATGTGGAAAATATGGATGTAATTAGTAAGCAATGAAATGACCAAAATAATGTTTATGCGGTTGGTGAGGCACCGGAATTAATTAATTTTTATCACGAGAATTTTTAATGAATAAAATTAATTTTTTTTAATTTCTTAACAATTTCTTCGAGATAAGGCTAAACCCAATAATCTTGCATTGCATGCCTTTATTGGGTTGGTTTGAATTAATGTCGACCTAGTGCACAAATTGGTGCACCCATATTTAAATCATGATTTATTTATAAAAATTTATAATATCATATGCTTTGTTCATGAAATAAAAATTATAAAAATGAACAGGCGGGGTTTTCGTGGGGACACCGAAGGTGGCGAGCATGGTATCCTCAGATATAGCCCCCGTTTTCAAATTATTTATAAGAACATTTTATACAAATTGAGATAAATTCATCTCACATACTTATCTTATATTTTATAAATTATTATTAAAAATTTATTTATAAATTATATTAAGACTCTGTTTGGGATCATAACTAAAATTATTTATAAACATATTTTACGTAAATCAAAATAAAACTTTTCTCGTGTACTTACTTCATGTTTGGTCATAATTGAAAACCTATCTATGATCCATTTCAAATGGCCTAAATGGGCCCATAGTGCGGCCGAAAATCACGACAGATTGAGAGCAATCTATTTTGACTTGTCTAGTCTATTTTTATTTGTTTAAATAATTGCATCACGTGCATTTTTAATAAAGTGCGTCTTTAATCCTTTCATCTTAATATCATTAGTCTTGTTAAACAAACAAAAAATGATGACTCAGCAATGTAAACAGTAACTCTATAATTAATATATTGACGAATCGTGCTTAAATTTTTAAATATAAAATGATTATATTAAATAACTAAAATTTAGAGTACATTTTGTTATTATTCAATGGCAAAGTCACAATTTAAATTTGTTAAGTTTAATGAGACTCACAATATTAATATTAAGAGATTATACTAAACAATGTTAAAATACACTTTATAAATTAAAAGGCTAAGCTAAAATTTAATATAAACTTAAGAGACCAAATATATACTTGATATCATAGACTCTCCACATATTTATTATAACTAACCAAGGTAAAAATGAAAATTCACTCTTAATTTTATTTCTCAAATGCACTCACCATGTTTATTTTTTTAGTGATATAATGATGGAATATTTTTTCTTTCTACGAGCACACAGTGTGTAGTACTTTTACAGGGACACACATATATACATAAGCCAAACAAAGATAAAAGGAAAAACATCTTCATTGCTACCTCCAGTTTTAATTGAAAGATATTTATAGCCTCCAAACAAAATCTTATAATTAAAATCGAAAGTAATACATTCGTTTTCTTGCCTTCTCTTTGACGGCATTTCTCTAAGCCACCAATAATAGGAGAAACGTAACCTATCTTGACTGATCTAATTTTCCAGTCATATCTATGCGATGGATAAAAAGTGGGGGCTGGATAATATGGACGTAACGAGTAGGCAATGAAATGACTATAATAATGTTTATATGGTTGGTGAGGCAATGGATTTAATTAATTTTTATGACGATAATTTTTAATAAAGAAAATTAATTTTTTAACAATTTCTCGCATTGCATGCATTTATTAGGTTGGCTTTTGAATTGACGTCGACCTAGTGCACAAATTATATTAAAGGCTGAAACAATTACACTCAGGTCTCACATAAAATAATTAATTCATAAAAAGTCCCTTAAAATCTGGAAATGATTCCTAAGTCTCCGGAAATCTGTGTGTAATAAATTCTAATTGTGAAATTACCTATTTACCCCTATTAATTTGAACCCAATGCAATTCATTTACAATCTCAACGGTGGCTGTTAACAACCCGAGGAGAAGTGGTTAACAACCTCGAGAATGCCACTGGTACTCCACAGAGTGAGTTGTCAAGAGCATTGCTGAGGTTGTCAACCACTTCACCTCGGGTTGTCAACAGTCACCATTGAGGTTATAAATGAATTGCTATAATAAAATTAATGGGGATAAGTAAGTAATTTCACAATTACAATTTATTACATACAGGTCTTTGGAGATTTAGGAATCATTTCAGAATTTTTAGAGACTTTTTCTAAGTTAATTATTTTATGTGGGATTTGGGTGTAATTTTCCCTTAAACGCTTTGCGCACCAATAATTAAAGCATGGGAGCAGCAGACAAGTGGGGCCCACAGCCATCAGATTTGATGGAGAAGCACGCTGTATTTGACGTGTGTTTGTCTTTTTTAATAAATAAATAAATAAAGCTCACATATTTTTAGGACTAAAATTAACTGATTGATAAACCATTTTTGTGGATGAATGACGCGCTAACGGCGGTCTCATTGTATCTTATCTCTTATATTCAATTTTTTTTCTTAATATTTTTATTTATTATTGGAACATTTTATATGTACTTATTAAATAGTAATGGTTAAAAGATAGGTTGTATAACAAATGAGATTTTATAATTTTTGAACTGAAAGAACTAAAAGTGAAGGTTTGATTCTCTAGATGTACATCGAGTTTTAATTTAATTCATTAAATTTATAAGTGTATTTTTAATTCTTTGATCTTAACATCATCAGTCTTGTTTAACCAAAAAACGATGACTAAACTGAAATTTAATGTAAACTTAAGGAACCAAATATATACTTAATACCACAGATTCGCTGCATATTTATTATAATTAACTAGTTTACCTTCCCCCAAATCTGCAAATTAATCAAGAATACGTTATACATAAGATGGGATGAAGTATCAATATTGAATCAATAATCTGAGCAACGATATCAACATCTCGTGCTAGTCCTAACAAGTCCAAGTACGCTGCAATTTCATGTAGCCACTCTAAAATAATAAAGAAATATTGACTAAATTTAATCAAAAAAATCAAAGGATCTTACAACTACAATTATTACAGTTTGTAAGGTGTAAATTGTTGACAAATTTAAATTTAAGTATTTAAATAGAATTTATAATGAGAAATTAACACACTTTTTTAATTTTAAAATACAAGACAGAAAAATAATAATGTAATTAGCCTTCATTACCGTTATTATGTTATAATTATGATATGGTGGCCGCCAGTTAAGTAGCCGCCACATGGAGAGACGATATTTGATTTTTTTTTTGGCACGATATTAGATACATTTCTGGAAGTTCCCATTCCTACTCATTTATGGTAGCTACTAGCCACTTGGCTTAATGCCTTCATGGTGGCCAGAGGAAAAAAGATCAAGTTGAACAATTCAAAATATAGCTCACAAACTTGGAAAGCTTGACTAATTTTGCTAACTAAACATTTAACCCCAGCTTAGATGGGAAGAAAGGTTGGGAGGCAAGAGAAATGAGAAGAAAGAAAATGAATAGAAGAGAAAACGGAAGTGTACTAGGCTCTGAGAGTTCACAAAACAAAAGCAAAAGTCTTAGAACTAAAAATGCTTTTAAAGGTATGGGTTGTATTATTATTAACTATATTGAACCAATATGGATTAGCAAGTTAATTTCATAATTTGACTAACCTTTGCCATTACAAATATTTCTTATAATTCATTATTAGTCACAATGGGTTAATATACATATCCCAATATAACCTTTCGTTAGCTAACGAAATTTTGGAATTGATAAGTTCAAATACAGATACGCACAACACATACACATGGGAAGTGTCATCTGATAAGAAAATCTTATTGGTTTTTATTCGTTTGAAAAGAATGAGTGATTATTGTTTAATTATTTCTAGATAAAGCTTAAAATTTATAATTTTATGTTTTTAGTCAAAAGATTCTCATCATTGCTTTTCTTTTAAATCATTTTTAAATTTTAATTCAACATCGAACGAATATAGATTTTCTATTGGTAGTTAGTTCCCTTCAGATCTATGTCGAGCACGCGACCGATGGCGACAAGTCTTAATAATCAGTGGGCGAACATTTTTCCAGGAATCGGTAGGTCTTCGATAGGGGGAATTTTGTCCACCTAATTATTATTCAAATAAAGGCTGCTAGCTATATACTTTAAAAAGATAATAATATCCACAAATAATAAAGGCCACTCTCTTACATTGGCTATAATTGCTTTGATGGCCAAAAACAACGACGATGAATGTTGCATTTTATTTTCTTTTTTTATTTATTGAAATAATTTTTTTGTTAAAAAAATTATTAATCGTTTCAAGATAAGAATTATAAGTCAATAATTGAAATCTTGAACAATAATTATCTAAGAAGATACTCATACTGTAATGAATCCCATGCAACACTAGTATATAAATCATTAACCCTAGACAACTTAACGTCGCACAAATATTTCTCTGTAATAGCCATGGAGATTCTTCAGATCTTCCCCTACTTCACCTTGTTCTGCTTCCTTCTTCTGATCTACAAGCGATCAAATCCTAAGAAATCCTTCAAAACCCTACCTTTACCTCCAGGGCCATGGAAGTTGCCTCTTATAGGGAACATCCATCAACTTATAGGGTCACTACCGCATCACTCTCTGAGAAACTTGGCAAACAAGTATGGTCCCTTAATGCATCTTCAGCTTGGAGAGACATCCAATGTCATTGTCACTTCCTCAGAAATTGCCAAACAGATCTTCACAACACATGACCTTATCTTCTCCAATAGACCTCATCTTCTTGCTTCCAACATCATCCTTTATGACAACATAGACATTGGATTTTCCCCACATGGAAACCATTGGAGGCAACTTCGAAAAATATGTACCTTGGAGCTTTTCACTGCAAAGCGTGTTCGATCTTTTAGGTACATAAGGGAAGAGGAAGTATCTGCACTCCTCGGAGATATTCGATCTCACGAAGGTTCGGTC